CTGATGCTTACATTGTCATCTCTAGAGTTGCAGTTTGATTATGGTTGCAAATGTTAACATCTTGGTATGACTGAAAAGTGTCAGGTGTATTTTTAATATCTATGAGTATTTAATATAGTGTGAATGAAAATATTCTCCAAGTATGAGGGAGAAAAAAGAAAATCAATCTTTAGATTGTAGTAACTAATGTTCTGTTATGGACAGTGAATAAGGTGAATTTTAAAGAAGTTTTCTGACAGCTTGAACTGACTTTCAAAATACTGACTGTATCAAAAGTTGTAAATATCAAAAATATGTCAATTATGCTGAGTGTTTTCAAGAGTAATAAGAGCTTTCATACAAAAGCTGGAACAGGTTGAAACTTTGCAATTGGGACATCTGTTTGAGATGAATTTTAATGATCATGTTTGTTCCTGTCAGTTTCTGTGGAAATCATGAGCAGGATTAGGTGGATTACACAAGCTTTTTCCCACACAGAAGTGCCACGGTTTTTAAATTCTGTGTTACTGCCACTAGCCATGGCTTTTTTCCTAAAGAAGAAAAAAGTGACTTGCATAGAACATTTTATTTGAAGGAGGCTTCATCAGAACAGTAGTTGTTATTAGTGGCCCTCAGGGTATAAAAGAGGTAAGTGCCATTACGCCGTAGAAGAAAAATTTTAAATCTATGTTTAAGTTTCTAAAGTTAGGTAGTAAGATGTGTCTAATCAACACAAATATATTTGCTCCTGCAAGGCTCTGTTGTTGACATAAGGTGGCAGACAGCATGTTTATTAGGTGGTAGCTAGTTATGGAGTGCTAAATAGCTGTTGCATATTTAAGGATTGCAGCTGTATTCCTTCCTAAATACATACTTCCTAATTTTTCCTAAATTCATATCGGCAGAAAATGGCTTCCACAATCCCAAATCTCCCAACTGAGGATACATAGAGCATCATTATGCATTTTTTATTTGTGTTGAATTATTTGCGCAGACTACTATTATTTTGCAGTATGCAGTGCTAAACTGTAGTGTCACGGATTTGGTAGTGATTGTAGAGAAATATTTTGTTTTCCTACTTTTAGAAAAAAGTTTTGGGTTCGTAGAGGGTTCTCAACAAGTTGGAAGAGGAAAACTACATACCTTACAAGCCAAACCTGCTTGAGAGCTCTGGTTCTTGTCTGTCCTTTCCACTTAATGTCTCTGTATACGCATGAAGACAGTACAGTGCAAAATACAGATTTCTGTGCCACACAGCTTGAGAAAGTTAGGCTAACAGTCAGGTGTTTTGCACAGCTTGGGCATTCTGTTTTCCACAGTCAGCTCTCATGATCATGCAGTTTCTGTCTCACAAGGCTTATCTTGCTGTGTATTGTTTTCAGCTGTATATTCTTCGTGACGTGTTCAGCTATTGTTGTAAATTAAAACATCCAGCAGAGATCTTGGTAATAAAGTATGTGTCTGTCCTGATTTCATCTAGTCAAATGGGGGCTTTGTGGCTGTTCCATAGACCACAAACTGGCAGTCATACAGCCCAAGGGGTGGTTAAGATATCTGATGGGCAGTCTTACAAGCTATGAAAGTAGTGGGTAGGTGAGCTGAAAAAAATAACTTGAGGGACAGTCAATCTGTTTACATGTGTTGGAGCAGTCAGTGATGTGGTTCTCCATCACAGCAAGCCTGTATTAACAAACAAGTTGTTAGGCAGGTATTTATCAATACACCCATCACTGGGAGTGGTGAAGTACTGTCACTTACAAGATCATACTTGTGTTGCAAATTTCAACATGTCTGTTGGGCAAGAAGGGGAATATATCCACTCACCATGAGTCTCCTGAGGAGCCCAATCATACCAAGGCTTCAGCAGCCTCTTGTACATCTGTGATCTATGAGATTCTCAGTCTTGCATACTCCTTATATGGCTTCTTACTTTCCAACATCAAACTTAAAACAGATTAGTTGGCGTGAAAAGTGTGTTGGCTGCCAAATAGCAATTTCTGTTTTCCACTGAGGTTAGTGGCAGACATACTTTTGCCTGGCTTATTACCAAGTACAGATGAGCTTTCATAAGCCTCCCTCTGTTTTAGTCTTGCATTCTCAACACGTCGATGATCATTCCAGGTTTGAAGCTTGGAGTTCGGTGGTGGACCTAGCTGTAGTAGCAGATAGGAAGTAGTAGTTCCAATGGTGAACCTTCCTCAAAATCTGCCTTATTATGCTAACATAAAGGACTGCAAAAACATCTTTTCCATATTTATGCTTTAATTCAGCAAGAACATTAAACTACCCTGTAATCAGACAAGATGGAAAAACTAATTTTCCTAACTTTATGTACCTTTACAGTATGTTTCAGGAAAAGAAGATCTTAGAATGCCAGAACGCAAGTCAGATGCAGTAAAGTATCTGTGCTACAATTTTGTGCAATCTACAGATAGTACGTGGCCTTGAATTTCCCATTTTTCTCTTTGTGCTTGCCTAGAAAGCAGATTGCTGGAAAATGGAGACTCTTCCAGATTTTCATTATGCCCATCTGTTGCCAAGACCTACTAGTACTTTTGCACACAACAAAAATTTGAGAGGGGTATTGTGTGATGCTTGGCACAGTTCCAGCAGTGTGTTGTGTGACTTGCTGCTAAAACCAGAACAATTCATTTTGTTGCATATGTTCATTCCTAACAGTAAATGTAGTAAGCTGTTCAGAATTGCCTGGAGTGTCTGTGGCTCAAATCCTGGTCTTGAAAGACCAAATTATAGCCATCTATATGCTATCATATCTGTGATTGAAATGTGCATGTAAAGGAGAGGGTGAATTGCAAATTAAAAAATTGTGAAAAGGTGAATTTTTTCTGGAGTTCTCAAACAGGTTTCTCTGATGGTGGGCTAGCCACTTAAACTTGACTTTGGATGTAGCTAAAATCTTAATTTCTTTGTACCTAAGAGTTCCCTGTCATTCGAATGAAAACAATATTTTCCCTACATGGTCCCTACAGTTAGCATGTAGGTAAATGTAGCTCTGCAAGGGAACAGCATGGTCAGTAGTGGTGTAAAATTAGAGTTCTGGGTGGAAGAAATAGTAGAAATTCAGAGCAAAAAGAAAGGCTTGTGAAAGCATTGGAATTGCCTATGAATAAGGGATAAGTAAAGTAGCTGTCTTGAAATATATTC